ATATGGATCAATTAATGAAACAGAAAGCAAAAATATGGTATACAATTTATATCTCTATCCACCTTCATATGAATGAGAAAGATAACTACAATATTGCCATCGACCCTTTTCACTGGAAAAAGACCCACAAACCACTCCAGAGCCCTTACTAGGGAATGGACATCGTTACTTATCCACACAATACACATCAAAGACTACAAGCTCTGGATCACTCAGTCAAATATTATTTTTGAAATAAATATATCACTTTATTGACCCATACGTCTAGCTTGATACGAACTTTCACTCGCTTCGCTCACTCATGTTGTTATCATGCTTATGTTGATCACTTTGAGATCAACTTGATAAGAACGATATCATTTAAAATTTTATTTTTTTATTTTTATTGAGGCAATATAGACTAGCTGGTAGTAGAAACGTATAATGTAAAGAGTGTTTCCAATTTGTAATATGCTTACACCCATTTGCAATTCTACAATAAATTATTTTCGAGATGTGTTACTGCATGGTAATCATAGTAAAGATTCATTAATCGAGTACTTCCATTAATTTCTAAATAAATCAACATTTCTCAGGAGAAAAACAAAGTTTTAAAAGGTTTTCTGTACCTTGAAATTTGCTAAGTTTATGACATTCTAGAATCAATCATAAAGGTTGTCATATTTGCATAATGCCTATAATTAGTTCGTAATAGTTGGGAATAAATCCCATTATTATTTGAATGCTAGACGCACTTAATGAGGTGTACATTAATGTATTTTTATAGCAGAAAGTGGATTGTTATTGTAGTTTGCTTTCATGCAATTGTAGTATCTTTTTCTCGTGTCTAGTATCAATATAATACTATATACTATCTTTTCAGAGAGGGAAAGCAGTAAACAAGTCAATCACATAAAAACGAGATTTCAAAGAAATTTCGCAAAATCGCATTATATCCGACTGCATTCTAACCCAGATTCTGGTATATATTTTATCTTCATAGAACATAGCTCATTTTGTCAAACATTCCATGAAAGCCGAGCCGAGTTCATGGGAGTTTTGTCGGAATCACTGTAACCAGGATGGCCGAGTGGTTAAGGCGTTGGACTTAAGTTCCAATGGACGCATGTCCGCGTGGGTTCGAACCCCACTCCTGGTATAATTTTAACGCTGAATGAATTTTGACAATACTTAGTATTCCCATCGACCCAACTCAAATGGTTTCTAGACAAGTCATCCCTAAGACAAGTCATCCCCAAGACAAGACATCTCATCCCAAGACAACTCATCCCACTAATAAATTATTTAATTTGTCCTCTATATTATATACTAAGTATATATCCCTTTTTCATTTTTACGATTACAAAGTGATATTTGATTATACACTCAATCTTAATATTGATAATTTTTAGCATTTTGAAAAGGCACTTGAAAGTTATGTTCTACTTTTACGTATCAGTATTTTTTATTAATTCTGGGTTATTCTCAAATTCTCAATATATTTGAGAATAAAGAATTGAAAGTAAAAGTCATAGACATAATTTCCAAATTCAATCATCATGATTTTGAAAGTTTAAAATTGGAAATCTTATTTAAGAATAAGCCAAATATGACATATTGGAATTAAACAAAATATTTTAAAACAAAGACTGAATTAATCTGGGAGAATTATTCTGATAATACCCCGGATAATACATTTTTATTGCATTAATCCTAATCCGACACCCTTTTAATTATCAAAGTATATATTAATTTGAACATGTTTATCTTTATCCCGATAAATCAACAAAAATTAACTAAAACTATGCTATACTAACTACAAAATGCAAAAGATATCCCATGGCAAAACACAGTGTGCTAACTGCTAAAATCTCTAAATATGTTTCAAATATTCTTTCAAAAGTTGAAATTAATTGTATAAAATTATGTTATATTTCAAGTTGGGAAGAGTTGTCTTGGGGATGAGTTGTCTTGGGATGAGATGTCTTGGTATGAGATGTCTTTGGATGAGTTGTCTTGGGATGAGATGTCCTGGGATGAGATGTCTTGGGATGAGTTGTCTTGGGATGAGATGTCTTGGGGATGAGTTGTCTTGGAATGAGTTGTCTTAGGGATGAGTTGTCCTGTTACCACTCAAATCCATGGGTATCTTGGCTTAAATATGCAACCCGGATGGCCGAGTGGTTAAGGCGTTGGACTTTTCCAATGGACGTATGTCCGCATCGGTTCGAACCCCACTAATGGTGTACTTTTATCTAATGTACGTACGTCCACGTTGCTTCCAGCTCCACTTCTGGTATAACTTTTAACGCTGAATGAATTTTGCTTAGTATACTCATTAACCCAAGTCAAATCCATGGTATCTGGGAAGAAAAATGCAACCCGGATGGCCGAGTGGTTAAGGCGTTGGACTTAAGTTCCAATGGACGTATGTCCGCGTGGGTTCGAACCCCACTCCTGGTATAATTTTTATCTAATGTACGTTTGCCCGCGTTGGTTCGAGCCCCAATGCTGGTATAAATTTTAACGCTGAATGAATTTTGCTTAGTATACTCGTTAACCCAAGTCGAATCCATAGGTATATTGGCAAATATATGCAACCCGGATGGCCGAGTGGTTAAGGCGTTGGACTTAAGTTCCAATGGACGTATGTCCGCGTGGGTACGAACCCCACTCCTGGTATAATTTTTATCTAATGTACGTATGTCCGCGTTGGTTCGAGCCCCACTGCTGGTATAAATTTTAACGCTGAATGAATTTTGCTTAGTATACTCGTTAACCCAAGTCAAATCCATGGGTATCTGTGCAGAAATATGCAACCCGGATGGCCGAGTGGTTAAGGCGTTGGACTTAAGTTCCAATGAACGTATGTCCACGTGGGTTCGAACCCCACTCCTGATATAATTTTTATCTAATGTACGTATGCCCGCGTTGGTTCGAGCCCCAATGCTGGTATAAATTTAAACGCTGAATGAATTTTGCTTAGTATACTCGTTCCAACTCGAATCCATATGTATAAAAAATATGCAACCCGGATGGCCGAGTGGTTAAGGCGTTGGACTTAAGTTCCAATGGACGTATGTCCGCGTGGGTTCGAACCCCACTCCTGGTATAATTTTTATCTAATGTACGTATGCCCGCGTTGGTTCGAGCCCCACTGCTGGTATAAATTTTAACGCTTGTATTTTTCTTAGTATACTCGTTAACCGAAGTCAAATCCGTGGGTATCTGGGGAGATTTATGCAACCCGGATGGCCGAGTGGTTAAGGTGTGGACTTAAGTTCCAATGGACGTATATCCGCGTGGGTTCGAACCCCACTCCTGGCATAATTTTTATCTAATGTACGTATGCCCGCGTTGGTACGAGCCCCACTGCTGGTATTTTTAACGCTGAATGAATTTTGCTAAGTATACCCATTAAACCCAAGACAAATCAATGGGAATCTTGTTTGGAATATGGAACCCGGATGGCCGAGTGGTTAAGGCGTTGGACTTAAGTTCCAATGGACGTATGTCCGCGTGGGTTCGAACCCCACTCCTGGTATAATTTTATTCATTCATAGCGTATAAATAAGAATTGCCGAGTGGTTTTACATCTATACTTGATCGTTTGTTGATTGTTTTGAAGTAGATTTAGTTGTTATCTATTTGGTCTTATGTTAGAGTCCAAATCTTTATGACATATTAACAGATGCAACGATATTCAAAACTATATCTTTTAAATGACAATTCAAACGAACCTACATTTAACGTTTAAGCTTCGTTTTATTCTGATATAGGCTATTGAGTTCTCGTAATGAAGGTTTTTCAACACGCCGTTGGTCATCATGGAACATTTTCCAATTCAACAAATGCTTTATTCGATTTTAATGTGCTCTAATTTTTTAATGAATGGAGGTTTTCAGATATTTTCTTTAAAATTCTTTCGTAATGTTTAACATTTCCTAGGAAATAATCCGCCAGGATCCATTGAAATTCGGGTAAAAGAGCGTATTTGGGACTTAAACAATGCAACTTTCCTAACTAAAGAGTTCAACATTTAGATAACATTTTGCTTGCTTCCATACAAACAAAGCCCATGTTATATTTGTCAAGTTAAAGTCCCCATGTAACGTTTGAAAGTGTGTTTTTATCATTCAACTATAAGCTTACCAATCTTTCTTTGGAATTTTGGACATTTCAGCACACCATTTTTGGTAGATTTTAACATAATGGTAACTCAGTCGTGATATGGAAATTTAAACCAAACTTACTCGAAGGCTAACTTTATACGCTAATTAGCATATGGATGACGTCAGACCTAATATTGGGAGGTTAAACTTCGTGTTTGAAAAGAGCGTGTACGTAAACATGTAGCATAATCGTCGTCTATTAATTCACATCTCCATAGTATTTCCTTGCCCTAGTATTCCTTTGGAATACTACTCAAGGGTTCACAGGTTGAAGACACTGCGTAAACACCTCTGCCTGTTTATATAGGAATAGTAAAGTAAAGATCGTCACATATTTATAAAAGGGAGATTTTTATTTTGGCAAATCAATTTCACATTTCAGTTTGGTGGGTGAAGTTTGAAGATCTTCTATTTGTGTTTAATAGGAAAAATTGTCTTATGAAATGATCCTGTAAATGAAACAAGGCAGTTTAGTATGTAAGGATTTATATTGGCTGATACACGTGCATCCTTTGGATAATTCACTCTCCCGATGTATACAGAATCATTTTGAACGGATTATTATATCTTCAAGACGATTTCGATAAACTGGAATTTACAAAACTCCCCTAATTTTTAAAAATAAACTGATCCAGTAAACTCGCCTGGAGCCGCCATATGGTTTTTTATACGGGAAGCTTATCGTAACCCTTTAACGATGATATCAAAAGTAAATAGAATGACTTGATAAACGCGCCGTATAATGCCAACATAAAACAAAATAAATCAATAAAGAATCTTATTGAGAATAATCAAATACCTCCATATTAAAAATTCAAAAATGAATTTGCCTTTTTTTGTGTTTTCCAGTTCAAAGGACCTTATAAAGCAAGGGATCTTAGACAATGACTTTATGAAGAACCTTGAGCTCGCACAGATACGAGAGATTGTTGAGTGTATGTATCCAGTAGAATATGGCAAAGAAAGTCTCATCATCAAAGAGGGAGATGTGGGCTCACTCGTCTACGTTATGGAAGGTATGATACATTTTTTGAATTCAGACAATCAAGTTCAATATATCCATCATGATTCTTTCTGAATAGATACCAGAACATAGGCTGATTCCAGATGTACACGTTAAAACACAACACCATTTTTGAAGCAATTGGCAAACAAACCCAAAATTAACACTTAATCATTTTCACCACCCATATGCATGTAATTGTAAATTGTCTATTAAAATGAAAAATCGACACTTTTAACATACGATTTGGAACCTTCCAGTTGGTATTTCAATTGATAAACACGGATCGCACCTCCCTGTTTAAAAATGTAGAGGGGTTACAAAATTGTCCCTGCTAAATGCCGATGCTTATCGATGATTCAATCACATTTAAATTAAATTAATTACATTAATTAATTGCTTTGTGTGGATTGGTATTACTGGGGATTATTAGCCAATAGACTAATTATATTGAAACTAATTAACAGTTTTTCTCAAGTAATAAATGATAGATGAGGGATACACTTGATGCAAACAACCAAGTTCAACTTATTAGTGGCAAACACAAAACCAGGCGTAAGATCTTTTTTAACAGTTTTATCATATAGCTGATGATTTTTAAATCGATATAGTTTTAAATCAATATAACGGATAGCCATTGTTTTTCGGCATGAGGAACAAAACTATGATATACGCTCACAAATGGGACTTCAAGTTGCCAAACTTATGGAGGGGATGCAACTCATCATTCAACCAATATACAATATTCTGGACTTTCAATAGCAGGGGGCGAGTGTCCGAAAATCGCCGTTTGTTTTCGATAATTCGCCGTTTGTTAGAAGTCAAATATAGTTTTGGGAGAAAATAAAAGTCTTCTATAGACTATCCTTTATTTTGTTCAGCGATCTTGTTTTGCACTTCCTTGTCTATGATTTGTACCTCAGTTTCGAACTGCAATGGAACTCACTATAATCGTAAAGATCACTTGATCTCATTATAGTAGTAAACACCGTCCAATTTTGTACCCGTTTGGGCTATGCATTTTAGATCACTATCTAACCACTATCATGCGCATGATAATTCAAATTCCAACTTTTGGTATAATCAGAGTTGGTTATTTTCCACTGGACATGCAGTTACATGTATGACTGATATAACTCTGTACAACCAGTCACAGTACAGTCTTTCCAATGGGTGTAAAATTGTATTATTACCACCTTGCCGGGCCAGTTCTAGGGGTTTTAGTGCTAGTTTAGAAGGCGTTTATTTTATCGACCTGAGAAATGTGTGACGTCATAGTGGTGGTCCATATGGACCGGTCTAGAATATATTCTGGACCGGCAATTTTTCCCCGGGAAATTAGATATCGTTCAGTGCGTAAGATTTTCTTGCTATTTCAGCCCTGGTCGTTAACGGTGGTAATAATACTTAAAACGTCATTTCTGCGAGCAATATAGTGAAGTATTGGACCTTGGGCCTTTGGCCCTCGGTCCAATATTTCACTATATTCCCCTTAGAAATGACGTTATTGTACTATTAATCAGTTAAAGGCCCCATATAAAGTTTAAACCACTTTGGCTTATATTTTTGTCTTATCCAATGTTATCAAAGCGTGAAAATGTGAAACTTTTTATTAATTTCAAAAATGTTTTTGAAGGACTTTTTGTTAAAAATATCGTGAATTTATTTAAAATTAACTTTAAGAGGTCACACTGATCTTTTAAAGCGATAATTCACACCGATGCATAGCAATCATCCTCACTTGTTTTTTGCCGATAAAATCAAGAAAATTGGTTGATAGATGAGAGAGCAATGAACTCATCCATGCATGAAAGTGGTTCAGAGAAAGATGCATTTCAAAATTTTAATTCTCATAGAAACCAATGGTAAAATAATATTAAAAACATATTCATCCTTTAACCTGGTTAGACAGTCAAAATTGTTTTATTTTTTAAGTTTAGCATATTAAGAAAAGATTTACATTGAAAAATGTTGCCACCTAAGTGATGTCACGATGTGGTCACTTAGGTTGAAAATATTTTCGATATGCTAAATCATTGAATTGGCACATTAGATATAACATTTAATTTTAACATAGTGTGTACGTTATATATTGCTGTTAAAAAGATATAGAGGTTCTTATATGAGTACCTGTGCAAGATCATCCATTCTTGATGAGCTTTGTTAATTCTTCATATTATCAAAGCGACTGTCGGATAAATTATGAATGTAGTTTCGCACAGGTGTCAACGGAACCAAACAGTGAACCCCGCTTTCCAGAACCCGAGTTTCCAGAATTCGCCTCGCATTCCTCTGACTCTTTCTCAAGATTTGGACCCTAATTTTCTTCCGCGCAAACGCGGAAATATATTGTACACCTACTTTATCATCCTGGTGTCTCGTTTATAACACCCTTGTAATTACAATGCGAAGTTACTTATGCATGATAAAAAGTGTATGTGTTGATGGGGGGGGGAGGTTTGACCCCCCACTTACCAAAAGCTGGGACATGCATACCTTTATATACTCAACCGGCCAAGTATTAACAGTACAAAAAGGAGAAAAAATCTACCAGGTCCATAATTCTACATGTTCACGTACAAGTTTAAAAAATGTGTATCTTAAATTAATGTAGAACTACGCCTTTGTATCAGAGACACACTTTCATAGGTGCGTCTTTACAATGAAACACAATAACGAGAATTGCAACTTTAGGATCTTGAAAAAAGTTGCAATATCCTTCCTGGTTAGAATCAGTTTCCATGTACAACTAAAACACTATATAAAATAACTACATGTATCTCATACTTGAGTGGGTTTGGGGTAGATATCACCCGGGAATATATATCGTATCTGAGGAGCGGGCAGGATATATTGTATATGTCCCGCTCCAGGCCAAATGCGGGCAGATATAATATATCCATCCCGCTCCCGGTAATTTTTCAAAAGTTTAAAAAAGTTTAAATATCAAAAGTTTTAATTTTTTAATTTTAAAATTTAATTTTTTTAAGTTTAAATGCTACAATTTCATTGTATTGAACAAAAAGAATATTACGAAATTGTTAAATATAAATATCTTGTCATTTGAAAAAGGTGGAAAAGGTTATATCTACCCTAAACCCACTCAAGTATGAGATACACCAGTTATGCACTGTCGGTTTGGATACATGGAATATCCCTTGGGATATACAATACATCTTCCCTCGGTCCCTTCGGTCCCTCGGAAAGATATATTGTATATCCCTCGGGATATTCCCTGTATCCAAAACCTCCCAGTGCATAACCCCTATGTATCTATACCATCAATGCAAATATATGCTTTCTTCCATTCTGATACTCATGGCATCTTTCTGTTTCGCCTGAAACACAGGGCTGAGAAGAAATGAGATGTCATGGTTTATCATGATGGCTGTCTTCGAGAATACATTATGCGGGCCCGGGAATGCGGGGTGCCACATTCATTGCAACACACCTTGCAACAATGTCTTATGAGGGTAATTTCTTATATTGAGAAGTTTATCATCTATTGAAATTAAATACTTGTACATGTAGCTACAAAAAGCGAATTTGTTTGAGCAGTCCTAGCTCGACATATTATAAAGAAAACAATATTTACAACATGGTATTCTTAGTAGACTGTTCAATTTGGAATTTCGAAGCTTAGCCAAACATCAGCTTTCTAACAAAAATCATCAAAAAAGGATTTTATCAAAGTCTTCCATGCAAATGAAGGTGCGAATTCACATTAACAAATTAAGATAAGATCCACAATATGTTATCAAATGGTTAAATGCGCAAAATGTATAGATATGTTTTCCTTAATAATGTGTGAGGAGGCCTTTCAGCCAATTTTTGAAAACGTGTGAGAACAAGTTTGGTGTAGAGGGGAGGGGGATATCTCCCACCTCGGTCTCTCTCTAATGCCTAGGACACATATGCGCCGGGCGCCGGCCGATGAGTAGTCATCAGCCGATTTCTAAATCAGTTTCGACAAAAATTATGTAATTCGGCAATTTTAGTTAAAAAACATGAAGGTACATTATGTAAAATTTTGAAGACAAATGGTGCATATTTAACAAAATACCAGCACCAGTCCTGTTACTTTTGGGACACCCTGTATGTCACCACTTCTGGCAATGTCTGGAGGTGGTAAAAACTAAAATGAATCTGATATACCACAAGTGAATCATCTATTAATACATCACTCTCATTTTAATAATGACAATTCTAGATTTTGATTTATATCAAAAGTGTTCAATATTCAACAGGTGCATTTGGATTTGTGAAATGCAACCTGTGTAAGGGTAAGTTATCTTATAAAAGGTAAATGACATTCTATATAAGTTGCCCTAGTCATTCCACAGTTCCAGGTGTTATTTTGTGGAGCCCATGTCTTGCCACATCACACGTGGAAATGACTTTGACAAACCTTGGACATCTTTCTTTCAGTCCATGGACTCTAAAATAACAAGAATTTGCATTGTCGGGAGCGTAAAATTGGTTATTTTGAATGCCGCCTCTTGTATTTTTCATCTGCCCCTTGTACACAAAGTTACTGAAACCACTGAATTATATACAATACATACAATGGTGACCAATGAACCATAATGTCCAAAATACATAAAAATAGTATTACATTAATATTATAATACGGTGTATTGTGTAAACGACTAGTCTCAATTTGGAGAACGAAATTCATTCAATCTACTACACGTTATGCCTGCTTTGGACAATTTTGATATATTTACATATTGTAGATTTAAATGTCCTCTTTTTAATATCCATAATTTGATTTGAATGATATTTCTATATTTTTCATTAAAACAATTATTAGCGCAATACACTGATGAACTTTCTCCAAATCGAGACTTGTCTTTTATTGAATCGGTCTACTGTAGCCCAGGAGACTGTTCTCTAAACTGAGACTTGTCCTTTAAGATATTTTAAAGGAAAAATATTGATCGCCCAAAAACTTTTTGAACACACTTCAAATGAATTTCAATTTATATGTTTTTCTACTTACAGAGGGTAAGGTGGAAGTAACAAAAGATGGCCACAAACTATGCAACATGGGACCAGCCGCATTATTCGGAGAACTGGCGATATTATACAACTGTACCAGGACAGCCAGTGTAAGAGGTGAGCTCATGGTTGGCTACACCCCCTTGGGTTACACCCCCTCTATAAATTTAGCAATTCCAACTGTCAATATTGAAATTTAAAAAGCCTATTTGGATTTTCGAGAAAGCTAAGATATAAAAAAGACAAGATTTTGGGCTGCAAAAATTATTGAGTGGAGTGTTTATTTGTATCTTTTATTCCTCCAAAGTGATTCATTGATACCTCAAACATAGCTTTTTCCACCAACCGAATAACTAATTGTTTTTAGAGTATTCTCAGTGAAAGTGTTCACTATTCTCGATTAAAGCATTACGTTAGGGCGTTATCTTTAAAAAGACCAATTTTCATTATTCATTGAAGCAACAACCGAATACTGCGATCCAACATAAATGTAACGACGTTCTTCTTCAACTAATTGCAAATGTTCGCTTATTTTCAGCCATTACTAGCTGTAAACTATGGGCGATAGATCGGCAATGCTTCCAAAGTATTATGATGAAGCAGGGCCTACAACGGCACACAGAACATATGAAATTCCTAAACAGGTAAGCGATCAACCGTCCATTGAATTTGACGTAAACCACCAAAATGCGCACCTTGTTCTTGTGTCTTTCGTTTCCTAGCTTCTTGATATATTCCAAGTCCAAATATGTGTAGGAACATCGGTTTTTACTTATAGATGTCTCTGGGAATGATATTCACCAACTATATTTGTATATCGTCACTGAAAAGATGGAAACAATTTTGAAGAACTGCCGTTTAAATAGTTTTTAGAATTACTTATCATGCTGTGATATAGATGGCACAAGGAATTGCAAACTTCTTCCATGGCATAACAATAGACCAATCCAGTAAATCATGCCATCTATTGGTTATGATGTCATTCTTACAATTTCAGTGCAGAAATAGGATTAAAATATTGCTAATTTTCAAAAACTTATTTCAATTTTGTTTACAAACATTGTTGCCTGTAAAGTATGACATCATAAATCTAGTCCATTTTTACCCTAGTTTCCTTATTTCACAAATAGGGGTCAGGATTTATTGGAAAGGTCTATTGATCAAGTCTATTGATGTAGTACATTAAGGTATATAGATTGGGTAGATACAATTAGGTATATTGATGATACATATATGTCTTCCATTTTTATACACTTGTTCTGTGTTTAAAAAATATCATTGACCTTTTACAAGGTCGTTTGAGGTCAAGAGTCAAACGAGGAAATATTTAAGAAACAACTTCAAACTTCTTTTCGGTCAGTTTTACTTACTCTTTCCCAATTATGCATCGATGGATCATGTATTATCCATTGGCTGCTTAATCACGTTATTGCATGACATTGAAACGAGACACAAATCCATGTTTGAACGATCAAACAATAAACATGATAAGGGAATAACTACCAGGGAAATTATCTGGTAAATGTTTAAACGATCAGCCGCAGAATGATGGCATAACAAGAGAAGAGTGAGGTTATTCGATTAAAGAGATGTTTGTTACGTGATAATTTGGAAATCATACGATAAGCTCATCTTCGTATCAGCCATAGAGTTCTTGAACCTCTTTAGGGAACATGAAAATATATTTATCTTAAGAGACCCCTCCATGACTCCAAACCAAATTATCTAATGGCACTTAACCACAATAAGCGAAGTACTACTAAAATTAAAGATATTTAGTCAATTATTCAATATCAAGACAGGTAAAAGAGTGTTGGAATGAGAATCTTATTGAGAATGAAGTTCAATGAACTCATAATTCTTAATTGTACTTATGTTGGTTACTCCAAGCTCATCCATATATACATCGCTATCTTTCTCTAGTTTTAGACCGAATGGAAAGTGTTTTGTTTCAGTCTGTTTGTTTACGCGTCAACCTGCCAAATTTAGATTATAGAAAGTTCTGTTTTGATATTTGATTGGTCTAACTTGTGGATTTGAATCATTCAAGTTTATCTCTTCAACGAAATGTTTTATTTTTTACGATTTGTTTACACGTTCGATCTGTCTAATATATTAGACGATTTCGAATGGTGCTTGGTAACTGGAAACCAACTGAACAATTGGTGCTTGTGGGTAAAATTGCAATACCTTGAACTGACCCGTTCATTCTCAAGACCTGCTTCAAGTCAATCAACATTAATCTTAAGATAACACGTCTTACCTTACTTTTTTACTAGAACCATAGTGTACCTTTAATACTTTTTTCTCAAGGCCTTTTACAGGATATTTTCATTGATAGATTAAAGGTCAAGCAACTCTACAAATCGGGAACACCAAATTGATTCTTTCCTCTCTCGGAACAATCGAAAGACCTTATAACAAACAATCTTGAAATATATGTCAGCATTTCTCTTAAACATCTAACTCCATAAATTTCCTTCATTATAGGGGTTCATGAAATCCACAGGTAAAGTTGCATACACAGGTAAATTTATCTTTCAAGTCTCAATGGACACATCAATGAGATGGATTTTCCATTAAGTCTGATAAGCAACATATTTGCTTCCAGTAAATACGTCTTAGTTTATACACGTGTAGACATTCGTTTACCCTTGATACCTCAACTGGTGACATATGGATTACTGGCCTGATGAGAAAAACAAATCCAAGGAGGGTATTTCCGATCGCTTCTCTTATTCTTGTACTAGCAAATAACAACTGAAGATAGTATCGTTCTATCCGAGAAGTCTGCTTCGGAATCAGTTTTGTCTGGTTGTCGATTGTTTTGAAGTGTTTATCTGTTTAGTTAATTAGTGTTTTTTCCTTCGCCAATGTTTCCTCTGATTATATTTTATCAACAACTACTTTGTCTTGTTTGCCTTGACGAAGTGTTTTGGATTCATGATTGCCTATTTCTTTTGATATTGATACAAATACAAAACAAATTACAACATAATAACAATAGACAAGCGGCTTGGGAAAATGCGCTGTTTTGATGTTCGAAGTCTATGCCATCATTTGGTGTTTAAATATGCTGCGATAGTTTTATGCTTGATATATCTAGTGACAGTTTAGTCTTTAACAGTCGCAGGTTCCAATTCTGTGGTCGACTAGAACGACTGTTTTAATAAATGCTTACACAAACTTTTCTGAACTATTCTTAATTTAAAGGGTTCCGATTAGCATCCCGTATAAAAACAATATGGCGGCTCCAGGCGAATCAACTGGATCAGTCCATTTATAAGAAATAAGGGGAGTTCTGTAAAATCCAGTTTATTGAAATTGTCTTTGAGATAAAGTAATCCGTTTATAATGATTTTGAAAACGTTATCCAAAGAGTGATTGCGTTCAAAGAATACATGTACAACAGCCAATATAAATCCTTGTATTAGAAACCGGTTTGTCTTGCTTTGTTTCATTTGTAGGATATTTCATATGCCAAGCTGTGTGCTATTACGTTATGGGGAAATTTAGATGCCAATTTTTCCTTATTATACACAAATAGAAGATCCTGAAACTTCACCCATAAATGTGGAATTGATTTGTCAAAATAAAAATCACCCTTTTATAAATGTGTGACGATCTATAATAGACTTATGCTATATAACAGTTAGAGGTGTTGACACAACGACCTCGAACCTGTGAACCCTTGAGTATTATTCCGGGATCGGGCCTTTTATACTAAACGGTGAGCAACACCAGAAACGAGCGTTCGATTTGCTAAACGATATGCGTCACCCTTTAAGTATCTAACATGTTCATTTGCAGTGTACCAACATTTAAAGATCTTCCAGAAGAAACACTAAACAAAATAGCTGACGTCCTAGAAGAGGTATTTGGATAGCTTTTTTATGAATATTCTATTAAGATATTGATACAGAGTATAATTATATTAAAATATAATAGCAATACAAATTAAAATATCTAATATGATAAATAATTATACGCATTGAGCTTATTCGTCCCGTAAGGAGGACCTCATTGGTAGGTGAAAGCACAATTTTCTATTAGTTTGAAACCATAATTTACAATATTTATTCTATGTTACAGTAGTTGGTAACGACGTTTATAAGTTTTAGTTTTTAAGTGTTTGTATTGATTATGTTGAGCAATACTGGACTCCTCACCAAAGGTTTGACAACCGGAAGTCTCGTTTTCGATCACGTGTTCGGCCATTTTTATGTTTGGGGGTACTTGCAAATTCATCGAAGTAACCTTAGAATCAAACATCAACGAGCCATTGCCAATATGCTTATATGCATGCATACACAATATTATATATAATTTATTTTGTATTTTCTCATTATCTTTTGATGTTGTATTCTTCATTTGCAGACCCATTATAACTATGGCGACTATATAATAAGACAAGGGGCCAGAGGTGACACATTCTACATTGTAACAAAAGGAAGGGTGAGTTAGATTTTTGTTTAATAATCAGTATGAATATAGTAAGCCATTATATTTGTTTTAGAAAAGGACACTTCGTACATGTAATACTATAAGTTATTGAATGATTTGAAGTGCAATACAGGATAGGATACATTCTGCTCGAGAAATTCCGTATTGGAACGAGACGAAGTCGAGTGCCAATACAGAATATCGAGACAGAATACATCCTGTATTGCATTTCAAATTATTCTATAACGTTTTTATCGTGTGATCCTCTGTATTGCTCCTGAGAATGTCCCCTCCGTACCAATATTTTCTGTATTGCGACGGAGATGATCAATGGGGACAATCTCAGTAGCAATACAGATTGGTACAGCGCAGGAACTGACCAATCAGAATGCTTCATTTTACAGATCATACGATAAAAACACATATTATTATATAGGATAACCAAAGAACGAAATACTATGATCTAATACAACTGTAACATACTTTATAATGACCCGAACTGAACGATAAAAATGCAAAAAATATTTAAAAATAGAACATAGAATCTGATAAAAATGATAATTGCGTCGTTCACTGTTTTTGAATAAGTCATACAATACAATCATGAATGGATACTGTATTATTAATGGCTTCATCAAGTATTATTACACTGTCGGTAATAATACTTTTGAATGACCCATGCCATCTGTAATTAGAATTGTTAATTTGTTTGACACCACTTGAATTTGATTGTATTGTTCCTGTTATTATTATGTCACCACAACAAACGGTGACATATTCTTATTGTCTCCAACCTTTTGTGAACGGTGTTCGCCGTTCGGAGTTTTGCGTTCGGTGGTCGGCATTCGGCGTCTGATACAAATGGCAGGTGGTGACATTTTGTATGGTGAATGCCTTGTCAGGTATTGTGTGTCTAAAATATGGTAAAATGATTAATTCCTTTTGATTACCGTGCACGGTGTGTGCGATAACAGAAACTTCTAATGAACTGCTGGAACAAGTTTGTTTGTAGACTTTCTAGTTCACTTCTGGTTCTAAATATAGCCAAATTAACGAAATTGATCGGCTAGGAAGTGTTAAATGGGAATCTGATGCTTGACAGGTTGAAAGATTATTGAACTCGATGGATCAGTCAAAAGTAACATGGGGGCTTATGTCATGTCCTTAGAGTTCAAGGCACCCCGGTTGTTTTGACCAGAAAATATTGCAAAAAGTCTGCGAGGTATGCATCATCATTCGGAAATAGGATTATCCAGGGATCGAGGAAGGTTATTCCACCATGTGTAAAATTAGAAATAAAAAATAACCACAATACTCCGCAACCGAAATAATAAATCTCGTAGGAACCATAATTCAAAAGCGACAACAGTCATGTTTGTTGGTTTTGGGGTTAGTTAGATCAAATTCAGATAGCACGATTTATATATATATATATCAAACGATTCAAACTGGAGTAATTTGAGTCTAAAGTTGTTTTTGATGTTTTTTGTAATGTCTCCGTATTTTGCTGATGTTGAAGGTGCATTGAGTACAATTTTCCATCCTTGGAGCGCAGTGGGGTGTAAATGCAATATATATTTTTTCTCATTCGGGAGAATAGGAAGTTATTTTTTAACTTGGAGCACTGTGTTTCTCGACACCTGGCATGGTAGACAGCTTCTTATACTGGCCACCAGCAACGGTTCATCTAATCGCCTGCAGGGACTTTCACTATATTAGTTGGTAAAGATTACTGTTTATGTCTGTATCTGAGACAGGCCAGAATCTGATCGACATTTGGTGTTAATAGACATGGTTTAGTTGCTTGCCATATCTATTTTAGACCCTATCAGGTGTTATGATCATCGACACAAGTGTATGCAGTTTCGGAATAGTGTCCTATCTTACTTTTTGTGAAACTGAGAAATCAGTCTTTGAAAGTTCAGATATCCGTTACCTCAAGAGGTTTGTCTCTTATCACGATTCAACTCTTGGTGGCACCAGGGAGCAGTGCCAGTCACGCACCAGACCTTACCTTGTTTTAGCTTGGGAACAATAGGACAACATAAGAGGTGAAATTCCATTTTATTTGATGCTTTTGATAAATTATGTGTCTGAACAGCTAATGATTGCATAATCGAATCCAAAAACCATCAGCCATACGCCACTTGTAGATTCGAGAGAAGAAAAACGACCAGGGCCAAAATAACAGAGCCACAAAAATTAGAAGAATGATCAGCTGTGTTGCATGAGATCATCCACATTCTAAATTTCCATGAACAAAAAAGTTAGATAAAAGCAGTTCGTTCGTAGTCCTGTACAGAGCAATTCTATAACCTATCAATTATACATACCAGTCTTAGAATGTCTACCAATAGTGGGAGATGATAGAAAACCTGATGCAAGTCTAACTTTGAGAGAAATTTTACAATGATAAGTTTTGTGTTGATTTTCTTGCAACAGCAATCACAACACTACAATGTATAGTGTTCCATACAAATTGCCAGATTAACGGTTTAACGCGATTCCTGTTGAAAGTACATTTATCAACTTATAAAAAGAGTGGTATTATGTTATCATAACATTTGTTTTATGAGGATGTACTTTACTTCTTTAGTCACAGACCACCCAGATTTTTACACGAATTATATTTATCAAACAAAAGCTGACTGTTAGGTTCTTTGACGTGTTTTGTATATAATTATGGTATTAGCAGATTCGCTTGTCATGTTCAAAAATCAGAACAAGGAACAAGTGGCTGGGCTTCGCGAATAAATGTTGAGTTCTTCGCAAATGAGCCTGGTTCAAACTCCCTAGGTTTCTTCCCAAGGTTTCGTTTGTTCAACTCTGAAAGTAATTAGTAAAGGCAATCAGCGTGTTGTAAATTCTCTGCAAATGGCAAGCTGTTGGCCTACCTGTACTTAGATAACCATCGGTGCAATGATCTGAACTTGCACTCTACTCGAAGCCAGTCCAGCCAATATACAGAGTGGGCCGAAAAGTGTCCATATTTCTTTGCTTAACCCTTTTTATAATGTATGCATTCAGATAGATTTTCGCAGAAGATACCACACCCGTTCACCCGGTTTCCGTCGGTCTGAACCCAGTGTGGACAAAGCGTGCGAACACGAAATATGCATCAATCAATTATACAATAAGGATTGTCTCCCATAATGCAATCTATTTTCAAACAATGAATCTGATTTTGAAGTATATCGTGATTATTTTCTGACATTATAACTGACTATAAATTCATAATCAGTGATCAAAATTATTTGAAATAATATCCTGATCACCTCTTGTTTGTTTTGAATTTTTTTGTTTGGAAATAAGACAAAAACTTCAAATTCTGATTTATTGTTGGAAAATACAGGGTGTTCAAAAACGCAACCCAAAGAAATCGCCATATCTTGGAAAATACTAATTCAATTATATTCATTTTATCAGGAAAGAAAGAAGAGACTGTGTATGTATAGCTCCTGTAGTTGGTTAGTTGTAAAACATGATGCATTGGACACCTGTTCAAAAGACATTTGTACTAAGAAGATACGAAAAATGCAGTCAGTTGTGACTGAAACCGCAAAAAAACAAATAACTTCCTAACCATAGTGTTTTGGCTCTTCAAATTTGGCTCAAATTATCTTCATTCGATGTATGGTAAATCCGTAGAGTGAAATCAAAATCACTCAAGGGACTTTACAGTTATGGTCGAAATGCTTTCATAAACGCAGCCAAATGCCCTGGTTCAGGACTCAAGAGTTCAGATTTAAGAAAGCACTTTGACCATGAATGTAAAGTCCCTGGAGTGATTTTTATGAAACTCCACAAATTTACCACACATTGAATGAGGATAATTTGTGTCAAATCTGAAGTGCCAAAACACTATGGTTAAAGTTATTCTGTTTTATTGCTGTGGCAGTCACCTCTGACTGCGTTTTTCGTATATTTCTAATACTAATGTCTTTTGAGCGGGTGTCCAAGGCATCATTGTTTTACAACTGACTAACAACAGGGGCTATACATACACAGTCTCTTCTTTCTTTCCTGAAAAAATGAACACATTTGGATTAGTATTTTTAAGATATAGCGATTTCTTTGGGTTGCGTTTTTTTGAACACCTTGTACCAAGATTGCATTTTGTGAGTCAATCCTCCTTGCAATCGATCACAAATATATATCAGCAAAGGAAGCTATTAGAAACAACTGCAGAAATAATGCCTGCATATGAATATGAAATGTAATGCACTATTATGACCAAATAAAAATGATGATGATTTGGCTCACCCTGCAGTATACAGAGGGCCAATACAAGAAACACTTGTTTCCATATGGATCTTGAGGAACTAATTTTCCTTCATTACCTGCGTCAATAGAGTCACCGTATTTTTCCATTCACTTGTTTCTCTATATCTATCTCATTCGTATATCAGTGGCCTTATTGATTCATCTGGACTTGCAAAGGACCCTCCTCCTTTGGTGTCATTGTCAATTTCTGCAAATGTCCACACATTACTAGTTTAGATTTGCAAAACCCGTACCAGGCAAATAATGTTATTTCATTCGTGAGTAAAATGTTTATTGTCACAACAGAATACCATTAGCTCTTCTATTTTTGACAAGATGGGGGTTATATTTCGATATCTGCTCACAAGGAAAACAATTTGCACCCAGGTATAGTTGGATAAGATTCAGTTAATCGATGGAATTAACCTTGAAATGTAATCTAAGTATAACCATCAAGTCAACGGAGGTCTGATTTAGAATCCCATCGCCTGTTCGTTTCCCTGGTTTATATTAGGTGTATTCTAACAGACGTCATCGTTCGGTTTTTGTGTAACTTTTCGGGTTCTAAGTGCCTATAAACTTTTAACAGCCGCTATCGTTCAAATGTCATGTTCCCCGCCCAGTGCTCTTTGTTCTGCCTCAAGGTAGAGTTATTTAAACTGGACTACCTGGCATGTTTTCTTCACATATACTCCTCTTTTACCTTTATTTTTAACAACTATTGTATGTCATTTTTTGTTTCGACGTATCGTTGGTAAATAAGAAAAGGGAAATGTGCCAGGTTTTCTTCCCACAAACATTTTAGTATTTTTATGATAATCATTTTGACCTTGCCCTAGCTAGCCTTGCCCAACCGTCGTTACCGTCATGGATTGGTTCGAATATTTTCTTCTATAGACGAGACTTTCCCTTGGAGGTCGCAATGTTAAACCCATGCAATGGGTATCTCCTCGTCCAATATCATGTGATACAATTGTCCAACATTAAGATGATTTTTGGTGTTTATCGCATGTTCACCTTTATTTTAATTCTTTTACCAAATGTGATCATTGTTACAGGTAAATGTTACCAAGAGGGACCCAGTTTCAGGGGATGACAAAATCCTCAGGACACTTAACAGAGGGGACTTCTTTGGAGAGAAGGCTTTACAAAGGTACGTTTAATATACAATTTCATCGATTTTAACAGTTACCTGTGTTTTATATTCACAAGGATTTCCGCATTTATCTTTTATTAAACCAGATACAGTGATTCAGGTAAAGATGCACCAGATAATTTGCTTTGAAGTTTTAGGTAACTTCATCATTTGATAACATATCGTGAGTACTTTCCTGATGAACGCAAAACACATTGAGTGAAAATTGTTTATGTAACTTATAATTTTGTCACTCAGTGCAAACGTTTGTTTCTAGCCATCAACCATCAACAAGATATTCATGATTTTTAAATAAAAGATTCAACAACTGCACTCTTTATCTTTTCATTATTCAGAAGAAATTTTCCTAGTTTCTTATGGTTCTGAGTATAAATCTATTAATTGACTGGGGATGTGGAACATTTCTGCTTGTCAGGTATTCCTGCGGAAGATATTAAATTTCTGAGAAAGGTCTGAGGTCGAGAGTTTCCATTAGAAATCCGACATGCTACCTAATTACACAATATTTGATATTCCACCTTAACGGTTCCATGAATCTAAATGTAGTTATTTTTAATTAAATCTGACATGTAGCTCATAATGCCCGTTCAGATTTCTAAACTGTTTGTAGATTTTCTTAGTAACAACATTGTTAAATCAAGATTTAAAAAAAATTAAGATGAACGCACGGTGCATTTTGGTTGGAACTAAAATGTTAATGCATGGGTTCGCAGATGAGAAACTATGATCTCCGAAAGGTCAGACCCTTTGTGAATTTTATGAAAAAGCTACGTAATCTTTAGATTGGAATTTATCTGGGTGTGATTCCTGTTTGCCAAGTATCTAATATAATCAAAGATGGTTATCACAATTATATACCAAGAGGTAAAATAGATAAACCAGACTGTTCAGATATCGAAATAAATTTGAACTGCACCACACTTGCTTGAACCCAGGTCGACATTTTCACGTATTGACTAAAACAGAGAGAATGCATTGTAGCATGAAAAAGACGAACGTGAATCTTTCAAACAGTTCCACCATATTTCGTAACAACACACTAATGCGCCATAACCAACAGCACAATAACAGACATGTTGATTTGATGGATTCTAAATTCTCTGGCCTCCCATAACTTCTGATCATGTCAATCAATCTTTCTGTCTATATTGATCTGATTCGGATGAACAATTACTATACTACGAACCTTCTGGCCTAGAAGGGGAATAACCGTTTAGCTAGAAATGATATTTTTGCTCAGCTGATACAACAACCAATGGTGTTTTGATTTATTTAATTGCTTCCGTTGTCTGAATTGTTGATTTTTACATGCATAGTTTTCGCGGTTAACCCATTTTCATGCTTGCCATACATTTCATTTTTGATAGAACCTGCCTATTGAATAACATATATACACGAAATGATTATACTTTGAACATCACCGACACTTTGCTTGGATCATTGTTAATGTCGTTCCTATTTCATAAGCCAAACTTACATACATGTTTCATTCTATGCCGACAATTTCGTGATTTTCTATAACTTGAGAACTTCACTTCACTTCTCACCTCTAAATGTATCATCATGGCTTGTTTCACGGTATGCTTTTACCAATTTGATGATTTGCCAATTTAGACTTCTCCGAGTAAATATATTTGTCAGTATTATCAGAAAAATGAACAGATGATGGGTCACTGCGACTTCATACACAACCATTGTGAATTAAAACATCAAGTAAATTTCAACACTGTTATATCAAGGTGTACGGGGTGAGTGAAAAAATGCAACCCACTTTTTACTTACATTTTTACTTCCGGTTAGGATTTGACCTACATTTTTCGAATTGCAGGTTTTGTTTCGAACATATTGTATGACTGAATTGTAGTCGTGGTTGGTGCATTGTATTGCTTGAGAAGATTTTTATATGATTATTCGAATCATACATAAACAGGAAATTATTTACTTTTGTACATGTTTTTATTGAGATGTCGCAAAGGAACACATTTTTATTTTGATTCAGAAATGAGTCTCGAAATGAAGTCAAAGTCGATAATCTAAAGAACAGTAGTGCCATCAGATCCAGTCACTAATCAGAGATCCGTCATTTCGTCTGTTTGTATGATTTTGTAATCGCATATTCACAAAAGGGTTGCTTTCTCAAACAGTCAAATGTATCTATTTTGATTAATGCATAACAAATGTAAGTCCCACAACACAATACCAACCATACATTAGAAGTAATGGTGATTAGATTTTACCTCACCCTGTCACTATCAATACGGTTTTTGCAGGCCTTTCAAAGCAATATTTCATGAGCCAGTATCTCAAAGAAGATGTCAACAAGAAAACTCAAATGGATAAGAGTCTTCCTGTATCCCCATTTCTATAACGTATCGGAGTGTTGTATTGTACACTATACAGGGTGGGCCAAAAAAAAACAATACCCAACTTCAAATCAGGATAAAGATAGCTACTTTCAATATGATACATTGATTTATATATCATTTTAAAGGTAATCCATTTTCAAACAATTTAGTATATAACTTTATGTCATGAAATCAATATTTAAGTTTTATTATACTTATTTGTGAGGCCGGGTTGCAATTTAAGGTCTCTCCAGATTTTAGGGGAAAAATAGTAAATCTGCGGAATTATGTTAAATTTTTATTTATAGAATATCATTTTGTTAGGTGAATGTGTGCTTGTATATTAACATACGTACATGTAGTTGTGTGACTAAACTTATTGTTTATTAATTTCAGTGTTGTTTATTATCAATAATTACTCAAAAGGGGTCTGTTTAAAGACATTACACGTATATGTGGTGAGGATTTTATCTTTCAACAAGACATTGCCTCATACCATAGTTCAAAGGAGATATTGGCATTCCTTTGCAAACAAGGTGTCAATTTGACTGATCTCGATGCTTGGCCATCCAACAGCCCCGATGCTAATGTGGCGGGGGTATATTGAGCAATTGCTAAAATAAAAAAAGTGTAAAATGTTATTAAACAACACTGAAATTCATAAACAATAAATTTAGTCACACAATGATGCAAATATCGATATCCTAGCATGTATTCAACTTACAAAAAATTATATTCTATAAATAAAAAAAAATCCTATAGTCCTAGAATCCGGCCTCCCAAATAAGTATAATAAAACTTGGTCAAATACCAAATTGTTTGAAAATGAATTACCTTTAAAACGATGTATAAGTTTAATTTAGTGTTAGTTTTTAACTATTTTTATCCTGATTTGAAGTTGGGCATTGTTTTTTGGACCACCCTGTATAATACTTTTTTTATGAGAAAGCAAAAACGGCAGCCTTTTCAATTACGATTCTCGTCTAAGAACCAGTTACGCCCACGCAACAGGAATATCCTGTTTTTGAGACAAAAGGAAACATAAGTTGCTATCGAATAGCTATCTCAAAAAGGCTTTAATTATTTTGTTTTTTGTTATATAATTTGAACAATAAATCAACTGTCTATTTTCACGTAATGCGATATGGTGTCATTATCAAGGATCACCCTGAACAATTGATTCATCAAGACAACAGAGGACATTGGTATCTCTTTTCGGTTTAAAATATTCCAGTACACGCACGTACGACGTGACCTTGAGATTCTCGGTAGCTCACCATTGAGCCAACAGTTACACCAAACATAATCTTGAACTTGAAAAGTATCTATGATAAGAGGCCAATCCATGCCGTACTGACTTCCTGTAACAAATTAGGCAATAGCCGTTGGAATGTTTTTGAACTTGCCTCGTTTAATTGGATGGGGTGCAGATCGTTAGGTATTCCAATTGCACTGGTAAATGTAGATATGTTTCACAGCTTGAATGAAGAAATTTCAAAGTGCATTCAGTTCTTTAATCAATATTCCAAATGCCATGCTATTACAGATATTATAAGAAACATTGCAAAAGTTTAGTATTATATAGAATAGTTCTTATTTTATCAAGCTAGACGTTTGTAAAACTAAATATAGATGCAATATTGATAAACATTAAAATAAGAAAACCATTTACGATTTAAAAAAAAACACAAAACACTCAAACTATAGTATTATTATCTTATCTTTAAAATTATATCACTGTCCCATTTCTCACTCTCTGATTGGCCTATCCCACACGTGACTTGGAAATATGAAGAGCATTTCTATATATATCTTATTTGGAATATAAATGCAAAAATAAAAATAACATCTTACAAATGTGCATAATGGTGCTGATCAAATGGCTTCAAGACCTGATTAAACCCAAGACACAGGGAACCCAACTATTGTTATTGTTCTATCATTGTTTAGGATACTGGGGTTTGATTCCTAAGATCGACTGTACTCTTTAAAGTTCATTTTGTATCTATATTTCAAACATGGACCGTTCTCCTTCATAATATGGGTTTCCAAAGATAATTGATAAAAATGAATTTTAGAATGTTCCTGATTTCTAATAATACGACCTGAATGGCAATATGTTGAGATTTTTATTGTTGTTTCCTTTCCAATGATATTTAATAAATTAGGGCAGTGACACTTGGAAAATAACCCATCGATCTTTTATGCCGACAGCGTTATATATTCCGAGCACTAATCAATGTCAAGGTTAGTGCAAAATATAGCTTTCAGACAGATTTAGAATAATAAGTTCATTCCCAGCATTTCATCTTGAATAATTGCCGAGAGAGTCCTGGAATTATGTTTTGCAGTTGCTAAGCGATTTGCATTTATGATTTAATCGTCTGTCCAGTCAGCTGCAGCAGCCAGGCATCATTCGTATATTTATGGAGAATCAAGATTTTCCATTTCAATTTTGATTCCATTTATTCCACAGTATATGAGCGTCTCAGATCGAAAAATCATATTCCCGGTATAAATCCCATGATAAATCATGTTATACCCTTCAGCTGTTGTTGACGGAACCAAAACTCCTGATTAAATTGGATAAGGACTACAAATCAACAATTCCAGATTCAAAAGTGAAAAAACATGTCCATCAAGAGATAAATA